GCTTGCCCGTCTTCTCGTCGACGGTTCCTGTCCAAAACGTCGCGGGGCCGTCGAAAACGTGTTCGAAGCATCACTGGAGCAGCGAGTTCGCAATGAATCAATGAATGGGGCAGTCAACTGCCCCCCCAGAGTCTATAAAGATGATAGAGGATTTCGCGAGCCCTCGCTTGAAGTCCCGAACTTTTGCCCTGCCTCAGACTTGGCGGCCCACCAACGAGCAGGAGAGAGAGGACGTGTTTGTGTTAGCTGAAGTGAGAGGATGACCCCTCCAAAGCCCAGCGGCCTGTCAAGAGGCCCAGAAAGATCGGACACATTGGCTAGCGGCTAAGCGGCTAGCTGCTCAGGAGGGCTCAGGAGGGAGCCATCCCATTCACCCTATCCATCTTCTCCAAACAAAGGGAGCCGAAAACCCCCAGCAGAGAGCGGAGTGAGCCAGTGAGCAAACCGCTCCGCTGGTTTTCGGTGAAGCGAGCCAGACCACGATGGGTTTGATCCCCCGCAGAAGGGAGAGCACCTGAGCACCCTGCCAAAGTAAGAAAGGACCAGAACGTGTGGTGAACATTGGGTGACCTGTTCGGGTGACTACATCCACCGGTGACGACTGTGGGAAGCGATGTCGATTCGAGTCCGTTGGTCCTCCAGGAGCGCTGGAACTCCCGAAACGAAGTGCACCTGCAACGGTGGGAGCGTCCGGACACCTCACGAGCCTGGGCTGAGAGGAAGGGGAAGTTGAAGACTGAATCTTCAGCAGTCCGTTTCATCAATTGCCTTGAATGTGGCCACTAAGTCACTGCGTTATTCATGATAAGGACCTGTCAGGATATGTCATGTCAGTATCGTGTTGCATTGTTTTGCTGTCCATTAGGTCTTCCCCCTGCAATTTCAGTGAAGACACGTGTAGCAAGCAGTGGCTGGGGGGATGTCCAAAGTGTCACTGCTAGCTTGCCGTCCATGTGAAACAGCGAAACATAGTTGAATATCTGGGTAAGTCCACGCGTGACGTCAAGCGGTATCCCTCTCACGCACACCTCAAGAGTGGCCTGAGTCAAAATTGACAAAACAAAGAAACAACTATTCATGGACATTCCCCCTTCAGTGACCAACTGTGGCCAATACGCGTCCCAGTGAGACGGCTCCGGAACGAGTCATGCCCGCGAGACAGAGAGACAGAGAGAGAGAGAGAGAGAGAGAGCGTGGCCAACCTGCTGAGGACAAGAGGCTTACGGCCGCCAGGCTGACGTATATGGTCGCCCGGCACCGGATTACGGCCGCGGGCAGAACGACTATGCCCGCCAGCAGCACGACTATGCTCGTCAGGGGCACGACTACGGACGCGGCACGCAAGACAGCGGCCGGCAGGGCCCGGCTGAAGGATACGGGCGTGCCTTTGATGTCCGGGTGCCCAAGATGGTATTTTGGCGGCTGTGCAGCGCTTGCTCAGAAAATCCAGGGATGTGAGCTTCTTCAAGAGAACTTCCGCCCTCCAAGACCCAATGATTGTGAAGCGCATTCTCGTTCCTTTCAGCCAAGCAGCCCACAGGTCCGAGACCGCAGAGGCTCGGAGGGAGATGTGCAGCAAAGTTGGTCATTGACTGAATTGCCGATTTTTTCTGGTCATTTTTGGCCTCTATGTCGCCGCATGTTCCAAAGCTTCTGCAATTCCAAGGATATACACAAAGCACCGTTCGTGGGGGCTGGGCGGCTGGGCCTTGGCCTGCCAGGCCGTGAGAGATCTCGTTCGCCGCCACGGAGGAATTTCTACGAAGAGCCGCCTGCGAGGCGGAATGAGACGAAGAGATCTCGCTTCCTTTTTTCAGGATGACATTGGCAGGTGGTGAACAGCAACAGCTTTGTTTCTTGATGGACTGGAGATGGGATGCTAATGATGCTTATGCATTTCAACTGCATTGATTGCATAGTTGTAGTAATGCTAGTGTAGCACGTCCAGGAAACTACATAGAGCCAATATGAGCCAATTATAAAACGCACTTTCCAAGACTTCATTCCTGAGTTCTGCCAGTCATGCCCCAGAAAAAGCAGGACAAGAGCAGACAAAAACACCATCCTCTGTCATAACAATCTTGCTTGGCCACAGGGGCAGCATCATCTTGGTGAAGAACATTCCTTTGGGCCTCGATTCGAGGGACCGACGTCTCGCCGACGTCTCGCCGACGGGTTGCGCGGTGTGGCGTGTGGTGCGTGGTGAGTGGAGTGTGGTTGATTGGTGACCGGTGGATCTTCATCGAGAGGGAGCCGTGATTCATTGATCTTCACGCTGGTTTTAAGATCTCTGATCAAGTCAATGGAATATCTCATGAAATGCTAGGGACTGCGGTGCGATCAACAGCGCCACGGGATGGCCGACTCGACAGCGCCACGCTTGCCCAGAGGACATTCGTGACGCCTTTCAGTCGGCCACGGGCCCCGTCACGAGCTGCAAGCTCAGCCAGGGGCGCCCAGCACTGGCAGTGAGTCATGTGTGGCCGACGTGCCACTGGAAAGGACCGAGAGGGGGTGGTTGTGGAGTTGCACGGTTGACAGGGGTGAGATTTCATCTTGGTGTTGGAGGTTCGTGACACTGGCATCATACAAAAACGGCCGCGGGAGGCGGGAACGATCATGTCCAGGTTCCCAACCAGACCTGACTAGAAAAAGATCCACTTGGACTTATAGCTGGATGGACCCTGCGAGGGGTGGTCGCGGTTTGGGCTCCGAGACCGGGCGCGAGCCCCTGAGGCCAAGATGGCACTGCCAGGATATCCTTTGAAAGGTGCGAAGTGGGGCGAATGCCGAAGAATCCGATTTTTTCAGGCTCTAAAGGCTTTCCTGCATCAGGCCCTCTGAAGCTATAGGATCCCTGAATTTCCCCAACAAAAAGCAGGAGTGGGGTTGAGAAGGGATCACCAAGACAAGGGAGTTGTCGGTCGACATGTTCTGACCTGAAAGCCCCAGAACTGCTTGAAGTGGACACCCTCCGGATCTTCGGAACCTCCGGAGAAAGCCAAAAACAGCCCGATCCGCCCCCCCTCCCTGCCGACACCGGTGGGCTTCGTTCGCTCCGTTGGGTCGTCGAAGGCCGGAGGATGCGAAGAAGGCCGTCGCCACCTTCGACCACGGGGAGCTCAATGGCGCGGAGCGCCAAGCGGTGCGAGATGAGACCCAGGTGGTTTTTCTGATGGCATGGACCTGGGATTCCTGAAGATGTTTAAAAAAAAGGAGTGGTTCTCAGGTTCCAGGTCAGCAGGCTGAACCGTTTTTGTTTCAGACACGCTCTGAGGCAACATTATCAATGTCCACATCATCAATTGAGTGCCTTTTGATGTTTTGAGTGGCCTGCGGGGGGCGCGATTTATATCGGCGCCTTGTGCAAATGAATCTTGTGGAGCATGGTTTCAGGATACTTAGTTCCTGCAGCTGGATGCTGCTGTGAAGAATTTTCAGAGAGGCACGGGCCAGTCTGTACCAAACTTGAAGGTCACCATTCTTCAAGTGCCATAGGTTGCATAGGCACTTTACTAGTCTTTACTTGGCAGCTGAGCCAACAGAGGCCTCATGGGGCTTTCAAAGATGCCATGTGAGGGCTCGTGCCTGTAGCATAGTGACAGGGCCAGCGACGTGCGGTCCGGGCGCCAAAAGCTGACAAAGTTAAAAGGCCCGCACGTGCTCTGCGCACGGCGTGGGTTTGAGATGCGAGTGACTTCAAGTAGAAACATGTTGTTCTTCGTTTGGGAGAGGGGTCCTCGGACCCCATGTGAGAGAACTCTCATGTTCGTGACAGGGCGCCCATTTTGAGGAGACTTCTTTTCAGTGATGTGCTTGTGCAACGCACACACAAGAGGGTCGTAGGGCCATCAGAATTTGATTTTGGTGACTAGCCGGCAGACATGATCTGGGAAGTTGGTGGAGCTTTTGGTTTTGGGAAGTCCTTAAGATCCAGCATTCCCATCACCCATCCCCCGTGGGACCCTGCCATAGGGTGCCTGGCTAGGGTCCAGGGAAGTCGAACCCATGCGGAGAAGAGATGGCTTGGAGATGTTGGGAGCAACTCGAGAAGGAATTGGCACATCGTGTGCACAAACACCTTCGATATGCAGGTTAGCCTCCCAACTGTTAGGGAAGCACATATTTTAGAAAGCTGAGGCTGACTTCCGTTAGCTTCCCTCACGTGAAGGGTCATTACAACTTCGGTGTGATGCGAGTCACTCAGCAGCTTAGAAGCTTCTCAGTGAATCAACTCTTCGGCTTTTCGCATGGGTCATCCCTTCCGTGACCTCCCTGGAAGGCCCGTGGCCCCCGTGGCCCGCGTTCGCCCGTCGCTGGGGTGCCCAGCCGCATCAGGTTGGGCATCAGAGGTGTTAGGTCAAGTGGCTCCCAGTGGACGGGATCATGTTCCTTCGCAGGACGGTCTGACCGCGCGACCCAACATGTTGAGCCTCACCTGCGATCTGCACGGGACGGTCACATCAAACGTGGCGATCTTCCAACGGTTGGGACGTCGGCAGAGCCGTTGCCGTTGGGACCTCGGCGCTGCACCGCATGGCCACGTGGGCTCCAGGAACTCGAAACTCGGCGTTCGGTCTGACAAATGGTTTCACATGACGCATGGCTCGCTTATAGCGCGTGGATGGAAAGCCCTTCAGCTCGTAGAGGTGGGGGGGCGACATCAGAGACGCTGGCTTCAGGACGAAGATATTGGACATGCTTCGATAGGGAGGGGGGCTCCATGTTCAGCTCCCAAACCCCTCAACCGAACCACAGAAAAGCTGTGGAGTATTCAGTCTTATTCAGTCGCTTTTTTGGGGTTTTTGTGGGACCTGCCTCATGCTGGCGGTGGCCGGGTGGCCCACGGGTGGCCCACCGGCCACTTCACCGGGAGGTCCTGGTGGCCCTTGTTCCGTGCGCACTCGCCGAACGAACCCATGGGCTCATTGACTCTCGGCGGGTGGGGCGGGCCCGCTGTCACGACGGCATCGGTGGGCCTGGTTGAGTCGGACCCTGGTTGAGTCGGACCCTTGGTGGCTCATTTGAGCGGCGCAGGCGCTAGCCCATGGTAGTGTGGGCTTTGATATGGCTTGATGACTTCTAGGCATTTCTAGGTGGGACAAACCAATGAGTCGACGGAAGATGATGGAAGCTCTGGGTTTGGAATCTGGAATGAGGAACCAAGGCTCGAGACCTTGGGGTGAACCTTGCTGCTCTGGTGGTCGACGCGGAGACCGTCGAAGGTCTTCTGTTGCGGTGTTTGACCTGATTGGCTCTCAGTCATCCATTCAGTTCTCATGGACCGGACTGGAGCCATCAAAATCACCTTCAACAACAGAACCATCGAAGGCTGCGCCTGGCACCAATCGACCAGATCCATGCAGGTAGGGAGGCCGTAGGGGGGCTCATCAACAGTTTTGAACCGGATATTGGCATTTAGAAACATATATCGAGGCAGCCGGAGCGGAAGTCACATGTCACATGAAGTCACATGAAGATCTGTGTCGCTAGAGTCATGCCGACATATATGCTTTGACTGAGATTTGTTGGCCCCTGTTTCTGCCATGTCGTGGCAACGTGCTCACGAGATCGTGCATAGGACGAGCAGGGCTTCGAGTGCTTTTCAGGAAGCCTCTTTGGAAGCCGTCTCTCCTCATAACAAGCCGGGGCATTCATTGGATGTGACCGGCGCAGCTTCTGTGCCTGCTAGGGCTGCCCGGGCACTACAAGAGGTGCTGATGTCGGGTGCGCAGTCATCGACCAGCAGCGAAGCCAGCATTGTCTCTCACAAGGAGGAAGTGTTCGAAGCTGTGCGAGCGCACTTTGGAAGGAGCTGGCAGCAATACTCCAACTCCCTGTCTGAAGGTGCATTGCGGCTGGTGTCCGAGGAAGAGGCAGCTGGGAAGTCAAGTGCCTTCTTCGTATTTAGTGAAGATGGCAGGTATTGCTTGAAGAGTGTGGCACCATCAGAGGCCCAAAGCCTCTTGCAAATCGTGGAGGACTACAAAGACTATGTCTCCAACAATTTGCCCAAAAGCCTGTGATTTTAGACTGGTTTGGATTTACCCCCAGTGCACAATCCCCTGAAGCAACAACATACTGCTGTGCCCTTCCGCCCAGCAGCCCAAGGTTCTCTCACACCAGACGCTGCTCCCGCGCTTCTATGGGCTCTATGAGGTCCGCTTGCGCGATTCGTGGCGTTCGCCACCGGTCTGGCTGATGGTGCAAGGCAACGTGTTGGGCGGCCGTGCCGCTGTGGTGCAGCGCTTTGATCTGAAGGGCTCCACGCACGGCCGAAGAGCGTCCAAGAAGGAGTTGGCCAAAGGACGGGGGAAGCTTCACCTCACCCCTATGTGCTGGTCACAGAAGGCACCAAAGTCACACAGGGTTTGACAGATAGAACTGAAAATTATGAACACCGACTGTGTCCAAAGAGTTTCTTCAGAGGGATTCCTTCAGTGAATGGGAAGGCCTGCTGGGGTGTCCAGGTGTTTCTGATTCTCTTCGGCGATTGCTTCGGTTTGATTCCCGGCAGGACGTGGGAGTGTTCTGAAGGATTTGGATTTCGTCTCGCACCAGTGCGCTTTGAAGTGTGCCAAGCCAGAAGGGCTGGAGGAATGGCAAACTTGGATGGCATCTCTGGAAAGCGATGCCAACTGGTTGGCCTCCCATAACTTGATCGACTACAGCCTTTTGTTGGGCTTCTCTGCCTGCTCAGTGGATGAGCTACGGAAGCCTCTCTCTCATGTGGTACGGCTGCAGGTTCAACGGAGCTCCTTGGGCAACCTTCAGATTGAGATTCCGGAGGGGTATCAACTCTTGGTCTATGCAGGCATTGTTGATTGTTTGATGCCTTACAATGCGCTGAAGCGGGTTGAGAACATCATTTGCGATGCTTTGATTTCAGGCACCGGCGCGAAAGCGGCGGGAGGGGGCTCCTTCAGGCATGCAGAGTCTCCGTTTGGGGTTTCACCTCACCTTTTGGAAGCGGAAGTCAGGTTAGATGGGCCGGTTAGATGAGGTCGCGTGTCAGGCAGAACCAGATCCCAAAAACTATCCAGGCCTGGCTTTGGTCCTCTCGGAGACTATAGTTTTTGGTTGACGAATATCAATATTGCGAGTTTGGGGAATTAGGCCACCACCATCATCCATCGCACCCGCGTCTTACTTGAACGCGCCCAGTTTTCACTTCGCCGCACATTGCCAGGCGACATCTCCTGCCAGCCGCCGCAGAAGTACGCACGGCGCTTCGCAGACTTCGTCACCCGCCTGTCGTGTCCAGAGGAGCTGCGAGAGCTGGTGCTGGAAAGACAGAGGGGCGCATGGCGTCCCCTGAGCTTCATGGGAGAGATGGGGCGAAAGGACTGTGAGAGATGAGGGGAGAGATAGGGCGATGGCCTCCAACCTAAGAGCGAAGGCCTCCAACCTGGAGGTCCGGATTTTGGAAATGAGAGAAACGCTTGGCCTTCCAATGGAGAAGAGTATTCATGATTTATTGTTTTTTTTCACTATTGGTAGGGGAGCCCCAAAGGCCCTAGTGGTGAGTCCCAAAAGCACTAGCGCTGAGTGCAGCTCTTTCCAACCATTTATTGAAATCACCGAAATCCATTCGCTGAGCTCACTGAGCTTTCCAGGATGCCTTGATGCTTTGCAAGAGGACTGAGTTCTGGATCCTTCTCGGAGGCTTAGGTGGTCTTCTCCTGACCTACCACAGAAGCTTCCGCTCGTTGAATTGCAGGAGCCCGCAATCCTAAAGGGAATGGCCGGGATGTTTGTTGGGACGCCTGCCGCGATGGAGGACGAGATGCCTTCTCTCCTCCCGTCCTTCTCTCAAGTTCGCCGGGCCAACGGAGGAACAAAAGGGTGCAGGTTTGGCTCTGCAAGCCTCATTGAAACATAGCCTTCAGTTGGCCTTCCAAGACACCAACGGCAGGCAAAAAGCGGTCGTGCCTTATGGCCGCTGGCAGCCTTCATGGCTCTCAACATCAACTAAGTTGCACCCCTAACGGTTGGGGGTGAGCTACCAAGTGCCCAAAGTTTTTTGCGCTAGCAGCGCCAAGAAAACACCCTCAACCACCCCGTGTGCCCTGACCTACCAGTGTCTATTTTTTGGCCCCGCGGAAGATTCGATTCAGATTCATTCATAAGATTCATTTCCTTTGCGAAGCTGTGCCCCGTGCTTTTGGAGTGCCGCGGCATGCCACGGTCACATCTGAAGTTTTACTGGTGTGTAAACCAGGGTGACAGGGTGTCCCCAACATGTGGTCGAGCCGAAGATGACCCAAGTTGGCAGCATTCGGGTCGGGCACTCGGGGCACCTGGCCAGCGCGTTCTTGGCGCCAAGGACGAGGCGGAGCTGCTCCCGACTGACTGCGCGGAGGGGGTGCTGCATCTGGCTGGGAGGCGGGAGGGAAGCTGAGATGGGTCAAGGAACGCAAGCGCTCCACTAAGCCCTGCTTCAGCACTCTTCTTGGATGAGAGTGGCCCAGCTCTACGTGTGATCCAGGTTCTTCTTCCGCTCTTTCACCTGTCGCTTCTCGTCTCAAGTGACCGCTTCGTCCTTGATCCTGGAAGGTACAAGACGGTGGAGTCCGTGGAATACCCGGAGGGCTGCACGCTGCACGGCGAGCCTGGCACAGAGCCATGGTCTCACGGACCTCCCTCACGGACCTCACGGACGTTTGGTGGACGCATTGTCTCAACGGTCAAACACCCAGGTCCTTGGACTGGTAGGGCAGCCGCGAGCATCGGCTGAGCTGAGGCGATGGTCTCAAGACTAAGGAGTAGGCCACTTGAGCCGTCTTTGTTCTGAGTAGATAGGACAGATGGACATGTTCAAGCACCGATCCTGATCCTGACAAAGCTTGTTGTTGATTGCTCTTGCAGTCAAATGTGGGTTGGCAGGGGTTGAAGGTCCATTGATGATCGAGACAACTAATTAGATGTCAGAGGATGCGGCTACATC